CTAGGTTTATATATAATTTGAAATTATTGACCTTTATGTGAAACGAAATTTTAAATATTTTAGCAAAATTCTGGTGGACAAGAGTGGCAATCGTAAAAAAGTAATATTATCATTATTATCTATTCAAATATAAATTATATAAGTATTATATATTAGTTTTAGTATATGCTTAGCATGTTACATATACCTAACATGCAATACTATTGTAGAGTTGTGGGTTAAGTTCTGGTCTAAGTATATTACTAGTGAAAGCAACAGAGTGGTTCTATTTCCCAAACTAAAAACGATTGTGTCAGGCTTCTATCAACAATAACACTAACATTAAATGACTTAGAAAAGGACGTAGAAAAGGCTTAGACAAATATTCTCACTTGAAATCACGTTAGGTTACTTCAGATTAAGTAATAAAACATCTTGATATAAAACTATTTTTATCAGCTCTCCTTTTTGATAGAGCTACTCGTAGTTAAGCGGCAAAATGTCGAGATAACAAAAACCATTAGTCACTATCACGATGTGAAGATATATTATTATAGACCATATACAAATTGTATATTTAAGTTTCAATAAATTTTATTTTAAAATTAATAGATTTTTTGCCAACTTTTTCTTACTAAGCTCTAGATAAAAACACTTTCAAATTGCCAAGTTAAATAAAAATAGTTTTATTTCAATTAACAATACGTTAATATTATGAAAATACCTAATCTACTCAATAAATCTTGATGACACATCAAATATGTTCAATTATTATAATTACTTTTATATTTTCATGTAAATTTAACATTGATATATAAAAACATAGATACCTACAAATTTCATAACAAATATTTCTTTAAAAAGTGGTACCGTCATAAGACATTAAGTTAAACTAAAGAATAAAATTAAAAAATCGAAATTTCTAACTGTCTAAAACAAACTCTAACTTACATTTACTTTTTTAAGCAAAACAATGTAGCTTTAATTTTATCATCCGAAAAACCATGAACAAGTGTTTTGAAAAAAGCGCACAAATTCGAATTGTGCACTTCTTTTTGATACCACCTGTTTTTGCTAATTGTGTATCTTGAGTTTTTGTATATCAATGAGATTTAACCGAAATTAGTTAGACAATTGGATAACTACAAATAAATTATTGGCAAATAGTAGATACCTATAATGCAATTTATATGTTTTTATTAGTAAGTCCTTTGAGCTTTTCAAATAATAAATAAATATCTATGGCCGTTGGATATTGTACATCATAAATGATTAAAGAATGTAGTGACTCTCTGTCATTATGGAAGTATCCCATCGACTAGCCATTATTATTTATATATAAGGCATATTTATATTATATGTAAAGACAAGACTGTTCCGTACCTTTTTCTCCTCTGTTTGTCAACCGATTTTTTTTTGTTAGTTGCTATTGACGAGCCTTCGTGTTATCAATAAAAAAAATTTGAAAACAGTAATTTGTGTTTTATATGGACAGGTAAATATTCAATAATGATTATGGACTACTGAACAAACACTAGTTAATCGCAGATTAAATATCTCAGTTTAATTAAACCTCTTTTCCTTGTAAGAATTAAGGTTTTCAGAATTGCCACAAACAAAAAAGGTACACGTTAAAATCACTGACAAATAATCATTTCACCTATAAATGTACTGTAATGTACCTTTAATTTATGGGAAACCACCCTTAAGACCCACCCTTATAAAATTGACTCATAATTGGCAATAACACGTAACATACATAGAAAAATGCAGCCTTTTCAAGTCAAAAACCAATCGAAATGGAAAAACAGAGTGGTCAGTGCATTCTTTATCTCTACTTTCTACGAATATTTAAATTATATTTCATATTGAATCATATTTTTATATAAAGTATAAATGAACTATATTGCGTTTTATGTATTAAGCTATATAGAGAACATTTAACAATTAGTTACTAGCTACGAAAAAACATATCACGATTTTTATTTACTTTCTAACACATATACGAGTATATTAATTACTTTGGTTTGGCAATGCACGTTTTGTTTATATGTTAAGGATTTTATATATATTTATGTAAGTATACATATATGAAAGATATTCTGGTAATATACTGTGTATGATATGCTGTATTTTATTATTTTTAACGACTTATTTTGTGATGAATTCCTAAAAATAAGTTTTATTAAAAATTATGTTTAAGTTTAAAAAAATAAATTGAATAATAAAATATAATAAAATTAATATTTTTTACATTTTTAAAAATAATTATTCTTTTTAGATTTTGATGGGACAGCTTTGATTAAATTCAATTAAGATACATTTTATTTAAATCATAACCCACTTACTAATTAAAGAGGAACACCGACTACAAAAAAAATGTTTCACAATGAGTGCTTGAATTCACCGCAAGAAGGCGCTAGTGTAGAGTGATGTCTTTAGCACTGTCAAATGGTACTGAACGTTTACTGTTTGCAAGTTTTTTATCGCGGATTTTCACTAATATTCATGATTATTGTACAGATTGTGCCATTTCTGATTAATTATGGTAGACACGGTACGGCGCAATAAATTTTATTAGTTTAAATAAAATAAAAGTCAATAATTTATTTATTTGATTATGATTAGTTATTTAAAACTCACTAATAATTTATAATTATTATATTAAATTAATTGGCCCAGCCGCACTAACAAATACTTTTTAATGACAGCGATAGGACCTCACTCACCAGTGGCGCCAACTGGTGCCGTCAGAAACGATTAGCCTTCAACAGAGATATGGGTGTACCTATTTTCTTTAAAGGGTCAATAACAGAGTGTAAATAATAATACTCATAATATAATTTATCTCATTATTGAAAGATCATTCTTCTAATACACGTAAGTTTATTATTTTTAAAAGAAATAATAAAGATATATACAATAAATGTTTTATTAATTAGTAATAATTGCTGATAAATTGACGTTGAGCAAAACTGTGTTTCAAAATAGATATGACAGTTCCAAATATCACTTAGATATTATTTTAAGCGTTTAGAATTTACCATTTACTTCATTTATATGAATAACAATATAAAATTACTATTTTTGTCTTGTGGTAATCACTTGAAGGGTTTTAGTCACTAAATATGTATGTAGGATGCATGTACATCAAAAAGTTTACTTATTCAGTTAACTTACAATTTATAAATATGACATACGATCAATCATACCGTAGTAATAATAGAACGATATATAATAATTATTAGTTTAATTTTTCTTTTGTATATTACTGGTATTTTTTTATTATGTCTCAAAAAAAACTTTGTTTTGTGGTAATCATTTGATGTTTTTTAATTACTAAACATGTATGTGCGTACGATGTACGTCAATATGTATACTTAATACTTTATAGGCAACTATAATTTATAACTATAATATGATGATCAATCATCCCGTACTAATAATAATAATTAATTAATAGAACGATATTTTACTTAGTGTATTGTAAAATAATTATTAGTTGTTTTTTAAATTAGTGGTTTTTTTATTATGTCTAAAAAAATTTTTCAATGAGTACCTACTGAAGCACTTAGTATTTAATATTTGCTTATTTAGTATTTTATATTTTGTAAAATAACCATTTTTGTCGTATGGTAATCATTTGCAGGTTTTTAGTCACTAAATATGTATGTATGTACAATGTACATCAAAAAGTTTATTAGTTAGTTTATAGTCAACTATAACTATAATTTATAAATACAACATATGATCAATAATATAGTACCAAAAGTAGCACGATAAGTTTTTTTTCAGTGTACATATTGTATAATAATAAATGTTTAGTTTATTTATTTTTTTATAAATTACTGCTAATGTTTTTGGCAAGTACGTAAGAAGTGTTTTATTATTGTTGCGATGCCATGCATGTTGGACATTTTTATTTTGTGTTTGATAATTCGTAATCTTAAATTATGTCTGATAAAATATTTTGTTTAATTTTTGTGAGGCGCGCGAGAATAGAGAGTATAAGTTTAAAACAATGTTTATTTAGTTAGTTAGTTGTAAGTTCAATTAGTGATTGTTAAGTGAACTAGGTAGATAAATAATTACAGAAATAAATCGTAAAAAAAGTTAAAACTTAAAAACTTAAAGAGAGTGGAACTATGTCCTTCTTATAAGTATATTCAATTCCACATCGACGTGGAATTGAATATATTTACATAATATACAGATAAAATACATTTTTTTTTAATTTTAATGTCAATAATTCTGTACTTAAACTCTTCTGGTAAATAGGTCGTTAGGACAAATAAGCACTGAGACGACAATAAGTTAAAATGATTAACAATTATTAATTTCGTTAACGATTATTAAGTGTATTTAAATAATACATTAACTAGTTTAGTTAAATAATTATAATTAAAACTTAACGGTCTACACGTAGGTACGTATATATAATATATACATAAGAGGCGCATGCGAAGCACGACGACGTAACTTGCAGCCTTCTCGTAGAATTGAATAACAAATTAAAATGAATAATTAATAAATACATAATTATAAACTTTCATTAATTATTATAACGTTTAATTAAATAATAAGTTAACTAGCTTAACTAAATAATAATTACGATTTAAACTTAATGGTCTCCATGTAACGGCGCGAGCGGCGCGAGCGTGGTGCGACGTTGCAGCTTGGGGCCTTCTCATAGAATTGAATATGAAATTCAATATGAACAATTAATATTTAATAACTTTCCTTAATGATTAATAAATAAATACTATCTTAGATTTACAAGAATACTTGACATTTTAAATAAAACTATCTTTTCGGATTTTTTCGTGGATTTATTTTAATTATTGATTCCCGACGTTTCGAATGCTTTACAGCAATCATGGAGTGATCATGATAGTTGTGGGGAACCAATTATCTAAATAAATTCGCGAAAAAAATCGAATCCATACATAGTTTTATTAAAAATGATTATTAAATTAATTAATTAATGAGTTAACTAGTTAAATAATAATAGTTTAAACTTAACGGTCTCCACGTAGCGGTGCGAGGGGCGCGAGCGCGGCGAGGGAGGCGCGGCGGCGGCGCTGCGCGGCGGGCGAGGCGGGCGACGCGGGCGTCACCTGCAGCCCCGCCGCGGAGCCCCGCGCCGCGCGCGGTTCCAGCTCCAGGGAGAGGGTGTATTGTCGCTCTTCTGGTATCACTAGTGTACGGTCTAGGAGAAACTCGCATACCTGTGCAGTGAGATTATTGTAAATAAATAATAATATAATAAATATGTTGGGACATTAACACACAGCGCCATCTAGTTCCATGGTAAGCTACGAGGCTTGTGTTATGGATACCAGATAGTTGATACACTACACATATATAACTTTAAATACATACATAATATTATAAATATAAACATCCATGACTGGAGTACAAATATTCGTGCTCATCACACAAATGAATACCCCAGAGGGATTCGAACCCGCGACCGCTGGCACAGCAAGTAGGGTCACTACAAACTGAGCCAAACGTGTCGTCAAAATTGTAATGATTTAAAAATTACCTCCTGACCGATTTCGGCCACGACGGCCAATATGAGGACATGCAAGAGATATTATACTCCACAAGTATGCGCGCAATCATAAGTGCACTCTCGTGAACGACATACACTACACGATCGGGGAGAATTGAGACGCAGGTTCGACAGTGTTACGTGCTCTCTGAGATACGGCACGGGGGTGAATAACCGACAACTTCCCAACTCCTCAGCTGTTACTGAGACTTGGTTAACAGAAAGACTCAATAGCTAAAGTTGGCCCGACACGGAATTCGAACTCAGATGTAGAGCCGTACATGCTAGCCACTACACCACCGAGGCAGTTACAAGAGATTATTGTAATACGAGGACGTATGTACCTAAATATGTATTGTTGGTCTAGTGGCTTGCATGTACGACGACAGAAAGATCCCGGGTTCGAGTCTCTGGTTGGACTAAATATTTACTAGGATTTTCTGTCACTAAATACTCAGTTGTAGCCCTGAGTTGGGAAGTTGGCGGCACTGTAAGCTGTCGGTCCTATCTCTTAATTCTGACGTCACAATCAACAAGGAAATGCATTTAATATCACATGATGTGGTCATCAAAATTAAAATAAACATAAATTGCAATTTTTACTTACACCAGATACAAATAAAGGTTAAAAAAAAGTAAAAAGGTAAATTAAAATTCATCTTAAGCATGAATTTTAATAGGAAGAGCTTTGAAGATTTTTTGATAACTTTCTACTCTTAGATTATTTAAATACACGTCCATACCTTAGGAATATGATCGATCTTATACGGAGTTTGTTGAAAATTTCTTATCTCCCGAATCACATGAGCAATCTAGAAATTAAAAATATTATTACTTCAAAAATTTACTAAATACATTAGATTAAAATTAAATAAATATTTCAACCAGCAAAGAGTTATTAATTACCAGAAATATCTGAAATAACCATAGACAAGAATCGATCCCACAACTCCTAATGCACAAAATAGGGTTGCGTAAATTTGTGCAAATCTAAAGTACATATTAAAAAGTCATCAAACTATTATTCACTTACCATTCTCATCTTAGAAAAGTTTAGAAGACCATCTGGTGTATAATTGGAAGTGCCTTCTTCTATAAATGATAAGTCAGATAAATACATCCCCAAGTATGGGATGCAGGGCGGGTCGCATCTGTTCGTGAAGAGTACATAAAATGCTTTATTTTAACGTATTTTCAGGTAGCTCTTGTCCAAACTGACTAAATAATTAACTTTAACTATATATACATATAAGTGAAATAATCGTTTAAATCTTTATAAAGCTTTCAAGTTATTTGTGTATATTAAATTTATTTTATTATTAATTTTTATCAGATGATCAAAAAAATATCACTTAATAGCTAAGCCTTATATTTACCGATGTAGAGCATCCCGTAGAACTCTAAAACGGCACTCAGATGAAGTCAACGTTTGCATTTTTTCTATAGTCGATTTGCTCTGTGAAAAAAAATAATTTTTAGAATGGCAATAGAAAGAATTAGAATTTAGTAGTATTAAATAAAACTTTTTTTTATATCTTGTGTCCCCAATTAATATAATATTTTATTTCAAATTGATATTTTTCAACCTACATATTATATATGTTAAAAAATAAAACAACATAAATGCCATGAAATAGTAAGTGATAATCGATATATTTAATTTGCCAAGAATTTAGGAATTAAAGGAGGATCTTTTTAAATATATCAAATTATGATAACGTTTCATTTACTTATTTTTTGATTCCAAAAATAAGTAATTTATTTTTCCTATCCATTTAGTTCTTGGACCATCTAACTTTTTAAGTGTCGATAGACAGCGATTCTCAAAGAGTTTTTACACGGGATTTACGCAACTCAAAAAAACATTAAAACCTTTTTTGTTTTTAATTGGTATCGTTATTATGTTTCTGAAAGGTAAGAATCATATGGGTGGGACACAGAAATATCAGGAAAGCACGTTAAATAGGTGTTATCTTTATTTGTTTTTTTTTTTTTAATGAAATTGTTAAGAAACACATATTTAAAAAGAACTTACAGTTTTTGACACTTTCTCCCAAGTCTTCTTTAGGCGGTAGATAGACGTGTTGGAGAGCGCGGCGCACACTTGCAGCACTCCGTTGAAGTTGTGCAAACATCGCGCTATGTCCGCCACCGCCGCCCATTTCTCTATTGTTGCCACCCGACCTTTGGTAGTTGGTTAGTGGTAACAAATATAAATAGCTATTATTTATAACAAGTATCATAACATAGTTTCTATTTACTTCTAACAATGATCGTACAGGAATTATTTGATTTTCCGTAACAAAAATTACAAATTAGCCTATGATAATCTTGAATCCATACGCATTTATAAAGAATGTTAGTTAGAATTACTTGTTTGTTACACTTCATAGTTTGGTTGTTGCGCCATGAAACAGAAATCCTTTTAAACAATAAGTTTGCAAAATATAGATACAGTTAAAAAACGTACCAGTCAAAGTGTATTTCTTTAAAATCTCCGATATAACAAGGTTAGAGATGTGGTTAAAGTGAGCAGTCATCATCAGGATGTGAGGAGCGCGATCAGCCTTATCTGCCTTCGTCCACGCCTGTCCCAGGAACTCCCTGTGCAGAAATCTTCAATATACTCGTATAACTTACAAAGATCAGATCAAACCAACATTTTTTCATCATACAATGCTTACGCTCACTCATTGAAAGTAAATAAGTCTCACTCTCGCTTCGCTCAAAACAAAGACAAAGCTATCCGTTATCCCAAAGCAAAAATTTTGAAAAAAATAATTGAATTTAGACCATTATTAAGAAATTTATGAGCAAAAAAAACAAAAAAGAGCGTTTTTTTTGAAAATTCGATATTCTTGAACCAGTGATCAAAAAAATCTCAAAATTTACCAGGAAGCCTCTTTTGAGAGGTAGTAAATAAAAAATACCAAAATATTAAGAAAATCAAAAATAATTTTTTTTGAAACCGTCCCATATGGCGTGGAATGCCCCGTATACATCAATATATAACTTTACTATCAATACATAAATAAATTACAATATTTAATTGCAAGCTCAACTCTACTTGAATGATCTGATCAGCATAAGAATAATTATAAAAGTGAAAGAAAATATCTTACTCGCTATGTATTGCGCTGAAAATTTGATAGTCCAAGTAGGTCATCTGCTCAGCGATCTCAAGTGCCGAAAGAGTTTCCACACTTTCTTTGGTTGGTATCTGAAAAGCAATCAAAGGATTGATTTTTAGATCTTTAAAAAAAATGTAGTTGTCATTGTCTTATAAAAAAAGATACAGTCTGTCTAACCTACTACTATTATTATGAGCACTATCAACTTCTACACTATTAGTAGAATAGTTTTTGATATAGGTTTCTATTGCACCCACAAGAAATAAAATACAACATTTTATATCCATGCACTCAACTTACTCTTGGTGGTACAAATAAAGCTACTAAATCCACACTTCGATCAGGTGCTCTTTCCAATAATCGTAGCAACTGCACCGCTGACTTGTGCTCCGCTGGTAACAATCCTGGACATGATTCAATCTCCTTCAAAAAGTCCATAGTCATACCCCGAAGACGCTCGTCTGACCAGAAATCTGATGCATGTTTGGAAATCCAATGTCTGTAATAATCAAATATAGGGTGATAAGTAATATGATCCATTTTTGATCATTCCAACCAATTTCAATGAAGTTAGGCAGCACCGGATATTAAAATTCATAAGAATGTGCGCAACCTGTAATATTTTACTCTATAGTACGAAGGTCGAGGTGACATTATCGGTGATCGATAAGGGTCAGGACCGAAAGCTCTACGTGTTATCTGGGCCACATTGGGCCAATTTCCCAACCCCGAACAACTACTGAAATTTTTTTCTTAAGAAAATCCAAAAAATCACCTTAAAACATTCAGCACTCTCATTGTCGCTGCCGTCGATATAACCGAGTCTCTTCTAGTCAGTGGAGGAGAAGATGCGGGAGGCGATCTTGGATTAGATGACGCTGATGTTGCCACAGCGAAAGCCGCTGCCGCAGTTGATGTACTACTCCTGTATATTATTTAATTTTAATGTTACTTATTGTAAATTCGAATATATAAATAAATATTTCAGACTTTCAAGGAATTGTTTAGGTAATAGTTGAACTCACATTACAAATTAAAATAAATCAAGTAATGATGCAGTGTGAAGGAAAGTTTATGTGATAATGACATAAGAAAATACTATACATGCAATAAAAATAAAATTAAGCAGACTAGATTGCCAGATGTGAATAGAAAGTAAAAAGAAAGAAGAAACGAGAGAAGTAATTCAAATGCAATGATTTGGTCTATTCAGTAATAACTAATTCAAATTTATTTGCTCAACTTCTTTCTGCAATACTTTCACTAAAAATATTATAAAAATGTGTATCTACTATTAATATTCACTCTTATCTTTCTCCTATAATACTGCTTACGCGTTGTTTTATAGTGCATTTATTTTCATTTCTAGAAGCAAGGCATTTTCTACTTGTTTAAAATAACTAACTATCATTTCTCTATCAAAAGCCACTAGTATTATCAAATCATTTCTAAATTCATTACCATAAGAATTAGGTGTATGCTGAACGCAAAAATTAGGCTAAAAATCATGTACATCGTGTTCAGTAACTTGGCCATAAAAAATTGATTTGAATCTGCGTATACGTACGCTGATATGTAGATATATCGATTTGTTTTCGTCTCAAAGTCAACTTTAATTATTAAGGGCAAACTACATTCCAGATGCGGTTGAAAAAAATTTGGTACATAAGGATAAAATCACAGAATCATCTAGGTAAAGCAAATATTTTTGTTAAGGATCCTCTATATAGGTCTACTACTCGTGTCTACGGTTACCTCCACTACCTACTCACCACAACAGGTCTTTTCCAAAGCTGTTAAACGAATACTCATAAATAAACATCATACAATATCTATTGCCAATTGATAAAATATTATAACAGCTAGATACTGATTGAAGATGAATTGAAAGAATTGATAGTTTATATAAATGAAACGATTGTAAGTTCAAGAATTCAAAATAAGATGGACCATCGTGCAGAAATTACCATTTTATAAATGAAATTTTAGATCACAGACAAAAATGTATTACATGCTACAACACCAACTGTAAACAAGGTCCTGTTAAGAGATATACATAAATATTAAGTACATATTATTAACTTTTTGAACATGAAAACGTTTTTTTGAATATAACAGATTGGAAATGCTTATAATACCTTCTATGCGATTGTCGGAAAGATGTGATGACGACTCCTGCTTTCGGTTGATCTCGGCGATAATTCTGATAAGAATATATTTTATTATTATAATTTAAATGTCACATAAATAAAGTGCTGTTTGATTTTGATTTAATTCATGATAATGCAGACATGGTGTTGTATGTAAAGGTACATTCTTTGAAATTAATGCCCTACATAATTTACACCTACAATATGGAGTAAACCACTATATTTTCAGTGGCTTAAAAGAATATAACCAAAAAGCCAATCAGCAACATGCTTTAATTTGGACATTGGAGTTTTTAAGACTAAATTAAACTCTGATATATAATTCCAATCTGTTAGCGCACACCTGCATTTGTGATACTTGAGAAGTAACTGAAGTTCGTGGTTCTGATCCACACCAATAACGCCGTCTCTCACTGTTTATTGATGAATTCGTACAGCGTCTTTCACTGTAAAGTATAAAAAATATCTTATTTATTAATTTGTTCTATAAACATAGAAATATTTTTTTAGTTATAAAATAAGTTTTACACCTCTTCCATATCGATATAACGATCACGTCTTCTTCGTCAAATTCTTATTATTCATTGTATACATATTAATTGAACTTGTTGTAATATACATTACTGTACCTCATTATATTCTAACTCACCTAACGGATCGTCTGGGGAGGGACCTGGCAACGGAGTCAGAAGCCCTCCTCGGCTCAACTCCCTCAGCGGGGGCCTCTCCCCGCGTGCCCTCGGAGCGACGGCGAGCCTCCTGCGATTGCGCCGTCCCGGCCGACGGATGCAAGCGTCGGGGACTCTCTGACATGGTACGTACTCGCTGCTGAAGCAATTTTAATATACGAGATGAATAAACAATAAACTTAAAAAAATCAGATATGAAGTAATATTTGGAATAATTAAGTCGTTGTAGATTAATTAGCTTTTAGCTTATACGATTTATTTGAAAATAATCTGTTTTCTTATTGTCACTGTACCAGTGTAGAAAACGTGGTGGAAAATGGTGATGATAGATAACAAATATAATAACATAGCGACGAAATATATCCCAGTTTAGTACATTACTACAATGTATTGGAAGTATTTAAAAAAGTCGACTTTAAAAGTGAATAATATATGCAAATTAAAGTTTTTTTTAGCTTTATTATGTAAATATTATTGCTATGCATTACATTAGTTTATTATAATGTTTCAACAATACCAATCTATCGGGATCACATTTGTAAGAAATTATTTTAAAAACACTTACGTTACAAACTTCAGAAAACCTTTGCGATATTTTGAACTTATCGTCAATTTTGTGTTTAGGTTTTTCCTTTTCTTTTTCCTCTTCTTTATATTTAACGTCTTCGTCGCTTTGGTCTACCATCTCGATGCTCTCGTCCTTAGTCATGGCCGCTGCGGTGTTGTTGTCTTTAGTTGGAGATGATTTTTCCTTCAATTCTTTTTTCATCCCAGGTTCAACTGGACTTACTTTTTTAGGACTCCCCACTAATGTTACTGCACTTTGAGCGCCAGGTGAAGAAGGTGATGCTCCTTTTCATTTGCAAAACAATACTTTTAGTTGTGTTGCATTTCAAATATTCATGAAATCATACATGTAATGAATTAAAATGTGGTCACAATCTAGTTTTTATTGATATCAGGGCAATTCGTGGTCAGTAAAAAAATAAGAATGATTCTTAGAGGAAGACAGTCAGGATTGGACGAACAAAGTTATGTCTAATCGGGTATAATTAAGTTACGTAGTACATATATATATATATATATATATATATATATATATATATATATATATATATATATATAGTACATACTATACTATATATATATATATATATATATATGTACTATATATATAGACGGATGGAAGGACAGCGGAGGCATACTAATAGGGTTTCGTTGGCACCCTTCGGGTACGAAACCCTAAAAAAGAACAATTTACGTTTTACCTTTTAGAGTTTCATTACTTGAAGAAGTTGCCATTATTTTCGGTATTTGCAAATGACTGGTGTCCTCTTCCGGCTAAAAAATAACATTTTATAATATTAAACGTACTGGTTAAATAAAATATTTTAGGAATTAAATCATGTCAATAAATAAATAAATATGGTGGGACATTAACACACAGCATCATCTAGTTCCATAGTAAGCTACGAGGCTTGTGTTATATATACCAGATAGTTTATACACTATACATATAAACACATATGTACATATTATAAATATAAACACCCATGACGTGTCGTCAAAATATGTTCTATACTTACCTTAGCAACTGTAGACGCTCGTCGTGATGGTGCCCCTAAATGAGGTGATAGCTTGTCATCATCCTCACCTAAATTATAAAATAAATACAAATTTAATATACATAACAGATATAAATGAATAATGTTTATTAGTAAAATATTATGATACTCTTTCTAGATGTTTTCCAGAACCGCGACTGCCAGTCCTTCTCGCTGTATTCTGATCCATATCCTGAAATAAAGTCATCTATACTTATATTATAATCTATACTAATATTATAAAGAGGTAAACTTGTGAGTTTGTGACGTTGTAGGAGGTAATCTCTGGATGTACTGAACCGATTTAGATGAAATTTATAAGAAGATAGTTTAAGACCTTGGGAAGGTCATAGGATACTTTTTATGATTATGATGAAATTTTGTATGGGGAATCAAGCCAGGGACAAACCCGAGCGAAGCGAGGGTGAGTCGCTAGTATTTTATAAATTTAAATGACGCCAAATGTACTTAAAATTACTATCAATATGTTGTATCAGTACATATGTGGTCCATGCTCAGCTCCGATATTATTTTATCATGCCCAAAGTTAAATGAGCCTGAGTATTTTTTACTGTATATACTCGAATATCTATATCTCTCTTCGTCCCTCTTCAAAAAACTGGCGAAAAAAACTCAGATCTACAGATAAAAACTATTAAACTTAACATTTACCAGACACAGTACTAGCGGCGCTGGTTTTCCGCGCGGCGTCTACAGGTGGCGCTAGTTCAAGATCTTGCTGTGACTGCTCGTAGAAGACCTGCTGTAACGCCTCGAGCACCGTCACGCCGTCCGTGAACACACGGTATGTTAATAGGAACGTATTTAGGAAGTCCACTGAGAGGAAACGCAGATCTGAAAATAATTTCTCGTGTGGTGCCAGATATAAATAAAAGTACATTTTATGTCAATCTATATATAAAAATGCATGTATGTATGTTTTTCCTTTATACGTTCCGATATTCGATTGTTATGAAACTCTGGGGGGTTATTCTGTATACGTCTGGGAAGAATTTTGATCCTAAAAAGATTTTTTGAACGTTTGTATTTTGTGTGTTCCTAAACCATTCAAGTTAGAAACGCACCCGAGAGAAGTGAGAGTAAGTGGCTAGAGTCTAATAAAATATTGATGTGAAACTAGTTTGTAGTGTGAGTTGATAGAGACAAAAGTAGACATTTTGTCTCAATATGCAAAACGATAGTTTACTCTTCTTAATAACATTACTGTCAATAAAATGTCAATGCCCGGATACAAAAGGGATAATATAAAAAAAATATCAAAAAATTATATAGGATTTCTTAACTTACCAGTCAATCGTTGCAATAACCGTTGAGGAGTAGCAGATCTAATTTGGGGTACTTTACAAGAGTTCAATGTTCTACTAAATCTTATATCCACGTCGTCAGTGAAGAGTGCCCTGTCGGAGCGGCACGCGGGGAGGCTCGCGGACGACGCTCCGCAAGACCCGCACGCTCGGAGTAACTCTGTGAGCGCTGCGCTTTCCATACACTGGGCTAGTTCGCTCGTCCATCCTGCTTTCTCTTCTAATGTTGCGGCAACTGTAATCATATATTTTTTTTATATTTTCTTTGATTTACACGAATATATGACATTTTAAATAAAACTATCTTTTCTAGTTTAACAGCCATGATTGCCGTAAAGTATTCGAAACGTCGGTAACCAAAAATCCAAAAAGATGGTTTTATTTAAAACGTCATGTTTTTCTTATGATAAGCTATATTTACATATTCATTGTAATAAATCAAGATGAACTGTTAAACTCAAATTGCAGGTCACTTCCCCAGTACTCTATAGAAGCATTTATCAGTAAAAGTAGACTATATTGAAGTATAAAGAACTAATATAGTTCTTTGACTATAGGCAGTGCTAGCCCAGTGGTAACGCGCTCGCTTGGGAAACCGAGTGAAGCGGGTTCAAATCCAGGGTCTCGCACCTCTGATGTTTTCATGTGCGAATCATTTCTAACATGATTACCACTTGCCTTACGGTGAAGAAAAACATCGTGAAGAAACCTGCATGTCTGAGAGAATCTAACAACTTTTCGAAAGACATGTAAAGTCCGCCAACCCGCACTCGGCCAGCGTGGTGGACTATGGCCTTATCCCCCTCGTATTGACGGGAGGCCCGTGCCCAGCAGTGGGACGTTAAAAAAATAAAAGGGCTGAATACGACTATAGTCAAAGCGAAGAAAATATCCTTGAAAAACATAACGTACCTAAATGAGCACAAATTTGTTCGCCTTTGACTTCCACTAGTATTTTGAAATCTTTTCCTTGATACACATCAACACCAGGTGAGTTGCACACTGGCTTGGAATCTAAAACATTTAAAATATATCTTTACATACATATACGTATGTATATATAAATAAAATAGTAACAAAGTCTATTCTGTACATGCAATATTTTTTAAAAACTGTGACCCTTATGTATTGTGTACGGAATATATACCCTGAAACAATCGTTTTTAAAAAAATTGTCTGTTTTTGTATATCTGTTTGTCTGTATATCTATGTGCATTTCAAACAAAAAGTACTGAACGGATTTTAACTAAATTTTGTGTAGTGATTTGAACTTATTACTCGGACTAATATTTAAGACACTACCCGATAATCTCTCATTCCCACGGGAAAAACCCTACAACTGGTCTAAAAAATGTAATAAGGATAACGAGTTTTCTATAAAAACTAACCATCTTCATCATGATTGGATGGGTCCTCAATAAGAAGAGCATCGTGTAGCGGCAGCCTCCCATTAGCGGGGAGATGCAGCCTCCCTCCCGCGGCTCTGGTTGTTAAGAGCAAGTGGTTGCTGAAGAGAAAGGTTTGGCGAGCCTGCAGGTTCGCGCGGCGTCCTTTGCCTACTACTTGCGATAGGGTTCCTGTTAAATAAAGCGTCATTAAATTATGGAATCCGAAACGAAGCGAGGGTGAGTCGATAAATAATATAAAATAAATTAATGAGTATCTCATATAATTATGCCTGAATTACCTCACCTAATCTTTGAATTAATTAAAACAAAGAAACTCTGATCTTGCACTCAGCTTGCTGAACGATTCATCCTATGTGAACATAATGTTTTCTAAGGCCTCGGCGCACTTCTGAATAGTTGTATGACCTATATGAAGCTCGCTTTGCCTTGGAGGATTTCCTCAAGCAACTATTAAAACTACACATTCTCTTAGACCATATAGGTCCATATTTGTATCAAAATATCCATCCTGCATTGTATACACAATATAAGTCTATACTCTTAAATGTGTATCTTTTCCTGAACAAGACCCTGTATTTACCGCGAAAAAACATAGAAAATTAAAAAAAATGACTTTACCTTGTCGAATGAAAACTTGATTAACGTCAAGAAGAATATCGCATCCCTCTATAATCATACGTTCCACGGCCAGATTCTTTCTTAAATTTTCCGTTTCACTCACCTAAAATTAGAAATCTAAAAGTTAATATAATGAAGAAAATTAATGGACAAACACTGATCGAATGAACAGTACATACGATAAAAACTTATTTAGAATTTAATTACAAAATTAAATAACCCACGACATGTAATTCGCTATTTTGTGGTGGCGGCCATCTTGGTTTTGAAATTTATCATAGTGTATAGTATTCTAATAGTCAAGCCTTTTCAATTGATATCCATATTGAGGGTATTGTGAAAAAATATGTAATCCGCCATTTTGTGGCGGCGGCCATCTTGGACCGATTTTCACGAAACATAGCTAAGAAAACTCCCGACTAATTCACCTTTCAAACAAAAAAAAAACAAAATCAAAATCAGTTCATCTGTTTGGGAGCTACGATGCCACAGACAAACACATACAGATACGTCAAACTTATAACACCCCGTCGTTTTTGCGTTGAGGATTAAAAAGTGTATTTCGTGTATTAAATCTTATTCTTTTATATATAACCGTCAAAAATTTGTATTTAGCTCATTTGGTACGTCATATTCTAACTTGAATTTTATGTCCAAAATATTGAGCAAGATAATCATTATTCGATACATAGACCACAAAGCATGATAGATCATTAGGCAGCGTAGCACTGGCATTTTGTGCTGGATATATGTACTATTTATCATTATTTTATTTAATATAGTGTTAGTACTGTTTATCTATACTTTCATATTGTTATAAAATTTGGTGGCAATACAGACGATGTCTACATCATCCACAACTTCACTTTTGAGAGGTCAAAAACCTTACTCTCCTGTGTTGCTGTATAATAACGTCGGGAAAAAAATCAAAATAAAAATAAAACCACGATAAAGTCCAAATAAATAGTTTTATTTCAAGAAATATTGTACATACATTTATAATAATCTAAATGTGATTATTGTGTACCTCATCGTGCATTTGCCTGGAGAGTTCTTCAAGTTGCGCGCGCGCATGCTGCAAGCTGCGTCTCTCCACGTGGTCGTGCGGCGTGTGCGCAAGCAGCTCGTGCAGCGTGATGATGTAACGTGGAATCTATAAACAATATTTTAATTACATAGTTATCTTAAATATTTTAACTAGAAGTCTGCCCCAACTCCTATGTGTTTACAGAATATTTCTTAACATAATCTATATATAATATTGAGCATAAGTATTAACTTGAATTCGTGTATATTTTAAATAAATATGTACATACATATATACAATCTTTGTACTTTGTACATACATACTTACCTATTTAAAAAAAATACCTGATGCATAGGATATGTCAAGAATGTTTCTAGCGAGCGTCCCTGGCAAGCTGGCTTGCTCTCCAAACGAGCCAACAGTTGTGTGAACGGCTGGCTTTGTTTGCATTCAGTGAGGACTTGCAGCGAGTAGTGGTGGTTCCGGACGTACTCCTGGTAGATCGTCAGCATCGGTAGCAACATGTCGAATAGATCTCCTGTATGGAAGAATTCCTAAGTTTTGCGGTCTATAATATACTATCATACTATGGTATAGCAAGAACATTTACAAACTTTCCTAAGTAATATATAACCTAAAATTCTGCGATACTTATTATATGATATTAAATTGTCAATATTAAGTTTATCGCTTATTTGTTTTATTTGGCTCAGCATTCAGTCCTAAAGAATCGCTAAAGTCCTAAATTTTAATCGAAAAAAATACATCTCTATTTATCACAAGATAAAATTTATTATTTATCCAGCTATTCAAAAACGATGTATGTTAGCATATGGTGTTTACTGTTTAACTATATATAATCACCTAGAACAAGTGTCGGCCAAGATTCCATTCTTGATGTCAGGCCCTTAAAGAATATCTGATGAAGAAATAACACGGTCTCGCTGTTCAAAAATATGGAGTTCACATCCTCATGGGTACATGGAGGCTTCTTAGAACTCGCTGCCATTTTGAACGGCCGAAGATAACATGTCACCTTAAAAATTAAAAAAAGGAAATTTAGATAATATTTCATCATCATTTATTTATTAAATTAGTATAAAAAAATCAATAGTAGAAGAATAAACTAAGTTTTTTAAATTTACTTTTACATTGTTTACACAAAAACTAATTGATAATTCTTACTAAGATTTCCATTTGCTCTAGATATTCTTCCTCAGCTTCAACCATCTTAAAAACAAGGCTGAAACAAAACAAACATACTATTTTAGCTTAGGCATTTAAAAATGTTGTAAATATTTTTAGTCTTCTACTAACCTATTTCTTTTCCTCATGCTTTCAGCGTGAGGGCTCTTTATATACTGTTCCACAATTTGCTTCCAGCGCCGTCTGCAGAGCCAGCCTCGGAAGAAACTCTAGAAAGTAAATAAAAAGTTACTACATTAAATAATTTAAATTATTTTTATTTATTATTTCTTTCAGGATAAATATCGTTAAATAAAATGCCTACTTGTCTGAGAGAACCAAACTAATTATTAAAAGACGTATTTTGACATCACCCAATCCGCATCTGGCCAATCATGTATTAAATTATCTGTTCGTTCAATCTATTCGTATTCATTCAATATATATATTAAAACCCATAATTGTTTACCTGAACTTTTTTAATCTTTCGTAATTCTATGGGGTCGATATCATCTGAGTCACTTGGAGAGAGGCTGGTGGTAGAAGCGGTGCGAGTCGCTGGCTCATGCTCTCTTTTGTAGGCGCACAGCTGAAAACATATTTTGAGAAATTCTTAAACATATAACTATTTTTTTAAGTAGGTAGTGTGAACTGGAGGGGCATATTTTGGCAGAAACCCCTAATGGTTTAACAAGACTACTTACCAGTATATTAATCAGAGCTGATATCTAAAGTTCAATTGGCATTAATGATTGCCGAGCTTTGGAAGAATATAGCATAATACTTTCTTAGATTTACGCGAATGTTTGACATTATTAAATAAAACTATCTTTTCGGATTATTTCGCGGATTTATTTTGATTTTTGGTTCCCGACAATCAACGATTGATTGTGGGTCGGCTGTCTGTAACAACTATATCTTTAAGACATGTAACACCTCAGTCTCTCCCGTGACCATGGATGCTGTAAAGCATTCGAAACGTCGGGAACCAAAAATCAAAATAAATCCGCGAAATAATCCGAAAAGATAGTTTTATTTAATAATAAGAAGATAGCACTTTAAAAATGACGAATAAGTACGTTTCTAGTTTAAATAACTATTCCATTTTGTTCCATTTTGAATATTTAATTATTATTCAGTTGATATTGTAAATTATTTTAGAATTATATAGAATAATATTGAAAATTGAAAATTTAATAATTGACCTTTGTTTACAAGGAGTTTCTTCCGTGATTGAATTTTTATATAACTTAGTACATACTATACGACCCTTACTTTACATAAGATATTTGAATATACTAGATCGATTTCAATGAAGTTTATTAGGTTTTATGCAACAATATTTGTTACATTCCTGAGACTATTGATCTGTTATTTTTTATTTAATTAACTATCACTACTTTTTCCCAAAATATTTAATGAATAATTTTGACTACGCTACAAATATCCTTACGATAATATATTTAAACATATACACGTACTTCATTCCTAAGCTTCTTGACTTCGCAAACCAGCTCGTCGCACTGCTGGGCGTACTGCCACCGCGACGTCCTCTCACTCTCCACCACTTGCAGGAGATGAAGCTGTTTCTGTTCTAGTTCTTCTTTTTGAAGCAGTACTTTGTTGAAACTACGAAATGATATAGGACCATTTTATTTCAGTGGCATTTTTCTGTAAAATTGTTTTAAATTTTATAATGACATATCTATACATATAATAAAATTATAACTAAGCCGAATCTGTACATTAAATATTTTTTAAAATCTTATTGAAATAAACATTATTATCGACACAGAGGCCGAATATATAGTTTTTAGAATTTTTGTCTGTCTGTCTGTTACCGCATCACAGAAAAACCACTGGAGGGATTTTGATGAAATTGGGTGTAGTGATAGCCGATAGAACTGGGTCAACCGGGTTTTTGGTCATCTGAACGCGGGCGGAGTCGTGGGCAATGCTAGTTAAAAATATTTTAGTTCTTACCCTATTAATAGATGGTATCACCCTTAAACTTTGAAATAAAAAAGAAACATTTTTCACACGGTCGTAGCCGCGGGCATAAAGTATATATAAGTAGCTTTTTATGTTCTTGATAAATTTACATTTATAATTCCTGTAATATGAAATATTAATTACATTATTTACAAATAAATTGCGTGGGACCAAAGCAATCGTACAGAGCACCTATGCCCTTTGAAGTTTGAACCCACATACCACAGCCATGTTACCTTTATACGAGTGCTTGATCGCAAGATACGGCACGAAATTCGTTTATGGTAAATACATTATTTATATTTACTAGGTTAATGTACTACCTATAAATTATAATAGAGGAGGCAAAAATCCATGCCTTCTTTCAACTTATCCACTACAATTAAAGTAGGTACTGTTTGAAAAATCCAAAACCCCGCGCGGGATATGAACATGCGATATCAGTCCCAAAAGGTAGAGCCAGACAGACACGTGCTACATATTGTTTACCTAGATAAATTATCATATAGTTTTATCACAAAATTCCGATAGGAAAAACACGAAAAAATCTCCTGAAGGCAGACAAAACACTCGACTAGAGTGACTAATCTACAATTTATATCTATAATCTTATTATTCAACGACCTAAAACGACAATAAGTATCCAATATTCTTTTATTATTTAAAAAGTACACAGATTTTAAATTCATTTTAAAAGCAATAATCACTCCACTGTTGACGGTAGATTTTTTTTCTAATTAGAGGCCATAATTTAAGAAATATATCCTGATTTTAAACATTACGTAGGTATGTATCTCGGTGATACGTAACGTACGTATGTATGGTGGGGTCGGCGCAGTACATCTTCTGTACTGCTGATAGGATCTGCCTGACGTCAACCCTCCTTAGGAATCGATTTTAAACATTAGCTCATATAAAAAAAAATGCGATTGAATACTCTCCCCCTTTTTTGTTGCCAGTCGTCAAAAATAAGTGTATTTTCAAAGCGATAATAGAAAAAGTTCACTGAAAACATTCAATATAAACAATTTAAGTCAAAGCTCTACTAGTTTAAACTAACAACACTTTATCACCTAATTTCTGACCGGAATCTCCACTCGCCCTTACTTAATAATAACTTAGATACAGTTTGTTATACTTAAGGGAAAGTTTTGAATATCTTCTAGTTTATGATCTTAGGCTTTAATAATTCAGGATAACAAAACCGGGCAGAGCTCGCAAATGTCAGTGCGTCCTCGACCCGGTTGCCATGGCAACCCTCTCAAATGACGCACAGCGTCCAGCTCAGGTAGATAGATATAGGAATTAAATATATTTTTTACTCATTGCTCATTGATTTGTGTGTTATTTACAAAATTGTTTTTGAAAGGGATAAAATAATTCTATTTTATTACCCGACTGCGGCGAAGCCTGGAGGGTTTTGTGTTTGATGTATGTATGTATGTCAGATTCTATGTTGCCTCGTAATTACTAAATGGCTTAACAGATTTTGATGATTTATACGTCTTGATAACGAGAGTTTCATAAGATATATGTAGGTATCGTTAAAAATCAAAATGACGGATCCTAGGCGCCAACTTATTTGAAAAACATTTTTTCATCCGAATCAATCTAGTGAGGTAACAAAATACAGGTCTTTAAAAGGGGATTACGAAAATATATATCACTTATATATTTAAAGTAATTTGGCATAAGAAATTGTTAAATGAAACCAAAAATGTCTTACTGACCAAAGCTGTAAAAAAAAATTCAAAATAATTAAATAACCCGATTGTGTAAAGAGTGAACTGTTTTCTTTTTTATTTCTGTGAATATTTTTTTATATTGTGGTAGTGAATAGTTTCAAGTACCTATCAACACTGCCAAGTCGCAGAATTTACTTTAATCAGTAGAAGCACAATGTTGTTTATTTATAAAAGTACAAATTAAAGTATTCAGATGAAAAAGTACTAAGAACTATTACTGTAACGAAATTAGTGATAAGAGTGGTTATTACGGAAATTTGATTTTATTTTCAAATTGCAATTTTATTTCTTGATTTCTTCGTTTTTCATACCTCAACATATTCCGGTAATTGCAAATAATAAATAAATTTTACACCAAAAATAATAATTAAAAAGACAAGTCTGAAAGCATGCTTTTTGCATCCTAAGACAGTTGTCAAAACAATTCGAGTGATGCATCGAAATTACTAGGAGTTTCGAGATTTAGACAAGAACAGTTAATTGTAAATTGCCGTGTGTAAGAGTGAGAGAGGAACAAAACATTCGAAATGCCTAGAAAGATTTTGAATTTTCGAATACTAGAATGTTATTAGTGTATGCATATGAAAAGGGCGGTTGTGCCGAGAGATCAGTTGAATTTCGAAGCTAAGTAAAGACTGAGAAGAAGTACGAAAAAGTGAAAAGTAAAGAAAAGTGGAGTGAAGTTATAGTGAAACTGTATCCAGTGGTGAAAATTAGTGTTCAGTGACTGAGTTTAACCAGAACTGTGTATATAACGCGCGTGTTAGTGAATCTTCATAAGTCACTCTTGTTAACCAAGGAGCAATAAAACATCAATAGAGCAAAAGACGTGCTTTAATTTCCGATCCCCGAAGTCATAGAACGTAACAATAATATGATTTTATTTATGTTCTTAAAATGCTTTCAATAACGCTTCTCTTATTTTGTATGATCCCATTTATTTTAAGGGTGGATAAATTTATTACCACTTACTCTCGCTACACTCGAGTGTCTTTTTGCCATACATTGTATTGCTTTATTTCAAACCGCTTAGGCAGCGAACGCCGATAAAGTAACTCAACCGCCAGATTTTACCAAAATAAATATTATTTATCTCTCTCTCTCTCTGGGGTCGGTCCCTCATGTCTGAGGATCGTGATCAGTGTTAGGGTTGCATCTGATTCTTATTGATCTGCCTCCACCGGTTTCTGTCCAGCGCGTCTCTTACCACCGTGTGGAATTTCGATGACGAGTCTTTAATTTGGTCGATCCATCTTATTGAAGCACGACCACGCGATCTTTTGCCTTCGGTATTTATTATTATTTATTGCACACCATTATTTTACTTTACATAGTAAAAATAAATTAAAGTAGAAATAGTACAATAGGCGGCCTTATCGCTAGACAGCGATCTCTTCCAGGCAACCTTTGGACTGTCAATTTAAGTTATTATAACAGTAAGCCACATTGTTATCGGAATCAATAATAGCCTAAATTCTCTCTATCACTCGGTGGTGATGTAGTTTACTATTGCATTCAGCCCTTTTTAACGTCCCACTGCTCTTGTTGTTATCCCTTCAATACGCGGGAGATCAGGCCATAGTCCACCGCGCTGGCATAGTGCGGGTTGGCGGACTACACATGTCTTTCGAAAACTTGCTAGGTTCTCTCAGACATGCAGGTTTCCTCACGATGTTTTCCTTCACCGTAAGACAAGTGGTAATCATGTTGAAAATGATTCGCACATGAAAATATCAGAGGTGCGAGACTCAGGAATTGAACCCGCTTCACTCGGTTTCCCAAGCAAGCGCGTTACCACTGGGCTACTACTGCCTGGTTTACTATTAGTGAAAGAATTTTCAAAATCGAATCAGTAGTTTCAGAGATTACTCTCTACATACAAACTTACAAACATTACCTCTTTATAATATTAGTATAGAAAAACTGACCCTACGACCCTTGTCCTAAATTACGCATGAGGTAGAAGACTGATGAGTTGTCAGAATACGAATTATTGTTCCACATCATATAGACTACAACGTAAACACAATATGCCTAACACACAAATATGTGTTATCTTTATGTAACTATCAAATAACCAACATCCTATATAGACTACTTTATAAAATGAAAACTGTTATCCTAATATTTCAACGATGATATCTATCACATCGTTATTGATGGCATATTGATTTACCGATAATGGCATAAAAACCAATCGTACAAAGTTGTAGTGATTTACATATCTATTACAATTTACACTGTATATATATGTATTAGGGTGGCTCAAAAAAAACGGTTTCTTTTTCGTGTCTAGTGTAAAAATATGTTAGTTTATCATGTTTCAAGAACCTTCTTAATAAGCAGCTCGAAAAAAATTCTAGAAGAAACTCATAAATTTTAGAAATTTCCAAAATCTTGAAAAAATTTAAATCTTTTTTTTTCTTGTTATTTTATCATTTTCTATAAGATGATTGAAAAAATGTCGATTTTGAAACTTTCACTCACCCTTGCTCGCTTCCCAATACAAAATTTTATCCCCATTTTAATCCCTTTAAGGGATGATTTCCGGGATAAAAAGTATCCTTTGTCCTTTCCAGGGTCTCAAACTATCTTCTTACCAAATTTCATCTAAATCAGTTCAGTAGATCCAGAGATTACCCCCTAAAACCTCACAAACTTAACCTCTTTATAATATTAGTCTATTTATATAACTTAAATATAATTAAAAAAAGTAAGTTTTTATCGTCGCATTTACTGAATCATCTAAATTACGTCTTAACTTTCTTCTGCTTTTATTTATCATATTCTAGGTATTTTTTTGCTGACAGACTTCACATGTCTTTCGAAAACTTTAGGTTAGGTAAAAATAGGTTTCTTTAAAATTTTCCATTTACTATAATGGTAATCATG